CCATGGAATATGCTGTTAAAAAAAACAAAAAGCCTGAAGGGAACTGGCAAAGACAGTGCATTTGTGTAATTTGTATTATCAATTCGGGAGCTCTGGGGTCTAGTGGTGAGGAGTCAGGCTGCCGAGCTGAAGGCTTGCGTTTTGAATCCATCAGCTGCTCCGCAGGAGAAATATGGGCCGTCTCCTCCTGTGTGCTTTACTGCCTTTGAAAACCCACTAGAAGGTCAGCTCTGAGTCAGTTCTGACTCAATGGTACACAGCAACAACAGCAACAACAACAACAACAACAACTAATTTAATATCCTTTCTTCAGTAATTGCTCAGTTTCTTTATATAGAGATACATGAATGTTCAGATGGTATATAAACATAATGTTCTGCTAAACACCTTTAATTGCTATCCTGGAAGACAAATTTAGAATACATTCCTTATTGCAAAGCAGAAACATTTTTCATGATAAATGTTGAATTTTATCTCCGTTCAATATGCCTAAAAGCTCATTTGTTACCATATATAGAGTAATATTAAGCCCTATGTCCTGTGCAATAAAAATGGAAACGCATTTGATATATAAATTTAAAATTTTCATTTTAGATAAATAGTAATATTTCCAATATTTAAAAATGTTTGCTATGCTTCAATATAGATTGAAGCTAATTATCAAAAAACCCAAAGACTTTTACCACTGGACCAATTGGCAGCACCATGAAATGTGGAAAAGATTGAGGTCGTTAACAAGTTTAGTTTGCTCGGTTCCACAATCAACACCCTAGGCACCAGCAGTCAGGAAATCAAAGGACAAATTGCATTAGAAAGTCTGCTTCGAGGAACCTCTCCAGAGCGCTGAAGAGCAATGATGTCAGTCTAGAGACTAAGGTGTACCCGATCCAGGCCACAGTCTTTACAATTACTTGCTAGGCATCAGAGATCTGGACAATGACTAAGGCTGACAGAAGAAGAATTTAAGCCTTTGAATTGCAGTGCTGGAGAAGAGTCCTGAACATACCATGGACTGCCAAGAGAACAAACAGGTCTGTCCTAGAGATGGTGAAATCAAGTTGCTCCTTGGAAGCAAAGGTTTTGATGCTCCATCTCACATACTCTGGGCATGTGGCCAGGAGGGACCAGTCCTTGGAGAACGACATCATGCTTAGAAGGATGAAGAGACAGCACAGGAGAGGAAGACCCTAGATGAGATAGATTGACACAGTAACTGGGTGGGTTAATGGGGGAAGGTGTGTCAGGGACAGTGTGATTGGCTCAGGATAAGGCAGGGTTCAGAGCTATTGTGCATAGGATCACTGAGTCACAGGATCCCGGACTCAACAGCACATAACAAACAATAACACGCTAAAAGGAACTCTGCTGGCCTAGTGTCCAAGGAGTTGGGTTGCTAACCCAAAGGTAGGCAATTCAAATCCATCAGCTACTCCATGGGAAAAAGATGGACAATCTCTTCCCATACATTTTACAGCCTCTTGCTGGCTCTATGGGTTTGTTCCAACTCAACAGCAGCTCTTTGCATTGCATTGCTGTGTAAAATTATCTTCCCAGTTAGTATTATATTAGATGTATGCTAGAGCCTAGAGTGCATCTACACGTATACCAGACACATTTTAAAGTTAAAATTGTAAATATTTTTGTTTATTAAAACTTATAACTGTGTATAAATAGGAGTACGTAATGAGGGTTGCAGAGTGGATTATATTTGGGGGTGGGGGTGGGATTGGGGGAG